AAATCACCTACAAAACTAATTTTGAAACAATTATAATTGCAATTAGATACCATCCAAACTAAATTGTAAATTATCTGAAATTGCCAAAAGTCATTTTTATGGATGACTTAATGGTGAATGGTTGAATATATTTATATATGCTACAAAAATGTGATTTGCTATTTTCAACCTTTTTCTAAATTGTTCATACAGTATGTAAAGTGAAGTAGGGAGAGGGCTGTGAAAAATCTTTATTGCTTGCAGAAGGAAAATATTACACTCGCTATTTTTACTTCTCAAGTAAAAAGTGTCACAATGAGAATGCCTCTTAAAAATGCATTTGAGTGTTTTACTCAGAAATTCTTTGGTATTTTGTTCATACCATCATTTTGAATTTTTTCTCTGTTTTTTCTACAACAGTGTTAGATGTTGTGTTTTTATGCTTTGTATAGGTGTAAAATTTTAATTTAAATAATATTTTAGACCTATACTGTATCTGTCTCTCAGCCATCTCTTCCTGAATCATCTTAAGTATCTTATAGTCATTCGTCATTCACTTGGTATTGATAGATTGATACGTCGATCATTCTCTTTTGTGCTTTCATCATTGTGACAGACTGATTGTCTCCATACTCTATGTCTCCATAACTTATCCTTTCTTAACTCCATACTCTTCTTAAGTCCTTGTCTAGATTCCAATTTTGCCCTAGTATTTTTTTGTGTAGTTTCTCAAAGTTTTCACTCAGTGCTTATCCAGGCTCCCTGCACTTTGAGATTCTTGCCCTTGTTCACAGCATTGTATCCCTCCATCCCCTTCTATCTGCAAATCCATTATCACTCCCTATACTTCTCTTGTCCTTCCAGCATCTTTTATTGGATCCCTGCCAGTGTCTTTGCCATACTTTTACCATCATATTCTCTCATTTGATGCCTGTGGCAGATCCAGCTACTATATTTTCAAACATAATGAATCTTTGACCAACTCATAACTCGTCTATTCAGAATGCGCCTGTACTTCTTAGGATCTCCCTGTCTTGCATCTTATAAATGCTTATTACCAGCTCAGCACATCCACTACAGAAGACCAGATCCCAGCACTTTTTTATTGAAAGCTTTGTTCTGGTGTATGGGTTTTCTTCTAGCAAATTATGTTGTAATCTTGCCCCTCATTAGTTGTGAGGATCAATATCATGCTTGACTGTGCACCATACTGCTTTAGATTTATACTTAATTCTTCATTGTTTTGTAGTCCATATTAATTACTATTGTACTGTGCAACTTTTGTTTACAGCTCCCTGTGACTTTATAGTGTTCCATCTTATTATATGAAATAAATAGTGTAATTGGAAACCCAGGTTCCATTGGGAGTTGTAAGAAGATACAAAGTTTAATAAAATATCCCTAATGTTACTAGAAGTTGTGGCTTTAAAAAGGATTTTACATAGGTTAATGTTTGGTACTCGGATTATATATGCTTAAACCTTCATCATCGATTAGTATTACATATATCTGTGCAACATACAAACAGATCAATGTTATTTTCTCATTTTTTTATAAGAAAGTTCACCTTTTTAAAACATTTCAACCTAAATATTTAGCTAAGTGTTTTGTTTATAAATGTGACAGGACTATTTACCGTACATTTCCATGCACATTTCTTTTCTGCCCCTCTTTTGTATGAAAAGGTTGATTATTTGCATTATCAAAATTTTGTTATCTATAAATTCCTTCTGCAGTCTGTTTTTGGTGTACAATTGTGTAGGTGCAAGCGGATGACCACTGCTGCCATAGAAATCATATCTTTAAAGTCCAACAGAGGAGCAAAATCTAAAGATTTCCATTAGTATTCCTCTCCATGTATGTTCATTTTATTAATAAAGAACTTAAAGTACATTCATGTCTTCATTTAATTGGTTGTTTTATGTGAACACAATACAGTCTTATTTCTTATTACAACCTTATTTACAGTAGATGTTCTATAAGTGGTTGACTATTTTGGGCAAAATCTGACTGTTGTGTAAGGCGAATTTCCAAATGAAACCATAAATCAAAAGTCACAAGTCAAATCCCAAATCATAAGTGTCTTGCTTTAGCACATTATAGAAAGATCATATACAGTCAACCCCTACAACTTAAGAAAGTTCATCATGAATCTGTCTTCATATAATAATGTGGTTTGTAATTACTTCCATGTTCTGAATGTTGGATAATTCAATATGATAGAGAAAACACTTAATATTCAAGGTAATTATTGCAAACATTATTGCTAACAACAATGAAATACTGTAAATAAGAAGAATGAAGTCTCCCAATAGATTGATCTGTCTAGAGCGCTGAATGACCTGCAACCTGGAGGTTGCTGCTCTGAAATTCACATGTGTTATTAAGCAGCCTGTCACAGTAAATTCATCTCTAATTTTGAGGTCTGGTACAGTAGTGAGATACTGTATGCTGTACAGTATCTTGTTTGGTATGGGGCCGTGGCTTGTGTTTCTGTCATCAGTGTTAAAGTTATTAGAAGAGCTGCAGCTGAGCACAGTTTGTTATTCAATCATAGCTATTTATTGGATACTAAAGTTATTTATTGCAAAATAAAAGTTAAGGCGGAAAAAAGAGGATGCCTTAATGATTCAAATACCTATATGATAAAAAATGTGTGTGTTTGTGACATTTTCATATGAAGAGCAATGTCAAGTTAATTAACAATTGAAACCATTGGAGATTAAAAATATCCATAAAAAGGCAAGTGAATTTCATCTTTCATGTACGAAGCAAACGTCAGAAAGCTCCTTCAGAGTACTTTTAAAACCTCAGAAAATCTGTGCAACCTTCTACATCTCATTCACTTGTCATACTGAGTGTCTGTGCAGCCAGGGAAAATTGATTAAGACCAGCACATTGGGCTATTCCTGTTCTTGCTAAGGTTCAGAATTCCATGGCGCAAAAGTAATACTTGTGAACTAGCGTGGATAGTTTCTGAAGCATTTTATCCCCAGGTTGTCTTATACACCAATGATTGCATCCTGCTTTCACACTGTTAAAGTGATGCATAACACACTAGCATTGTGTGTTGATACAAGCATCGCTGATGCCTCCCTCTGTGAGCCCCCATACAGTGTTCCTCTCATGAGTACAAATACCTTTGAGCCCTGTGGTTCAATTTCCATTGTGTAAATACATTCAGGAGATGGTTCTGTTGTTCTCTTTGCACTGGGTACAGGTTCTCACAGTATGAAGAATGAAAAAAGGAGTTAGATGCCTTTGGGTTCTATAGTAAAAGGGCATTTTTATTTTAAAATAAAACAAGGATTTCTTTATAATTTTGTGATGCATTCACAAATATTTTTATATATAAAAATACATATTTTTCTGGAGAACTTCTTTTCGTAGTTTCCTTGGGTCTAAAAATATCTCTCAGAAGAAAACTGATTGGCATAGCTTTTCTTTTAATTTATACTGTGTAAAAGTATTAGCTAATTAAAAGCCAAAATTTGATCTTAGACTTTATTTCTCATTGTGTGACCCCAAGATAAAATGATAAAATGAGAATGAGATGTTGCTTAAAACTCTAAAACTGCTACAGTACATCCTTGATGTACAGTAAGACAAATTATGGTTTGGTATCTGCCAGTGTGTGGCCACTGTAGGCCTAAGAGAAGTCAGTTGGGAGATGTTAATTCCTTCTTTCTCATGTGCCTGAAGAAGGTGTTCCAAAATATGCAGTGTATTCTAGGAGTACTGTTACCATTGGCTTGCCCTTTCACCACTTGTCCTTCAGTGTCAAGGATGTGATCAAGCTGATAAAATGGAGCCATGCGTTACTGCAAAATCTGGTCTTGCTTTTGCTGGCTCATAAGGTTACCAGTCATGTACAGAAGGTTACACAGGCAATGATAGTGTATTTCTGCCCACACTCTATGACACTGCCTCCTCAAAATCTGTCAGCCTTCTGCATACAATGTGCTGTGAAAACCTGGTTGCAAGGCCTCTGCCTGCACATTCACATCTACCCTTTCCTTCAAGGCCAAATACATTTCGATTTGGTGTTGAACAGGGTAGTGTTCTTCTGTCCTAGAGGCTGTTACCTTTTTACAAGCCTGGTTGTGTAAATAATTTGTACGAGATTTGCCAACACATTGAACAGGGAGACTGAAGTCCTGTGGTATGCACGGATTTGAAGGTCTCTTTTCCCATGAAGAACTAATAGGCTATGGATAGCTTCTGCATTAATGTTGCTCATCAGGTCTTCTGGAAGTCTGATATTCATCCTTTGACTTGTTCTTTTTATGGACACTTGATCTCCTTATAATCATTAGTGTTTGAAAAGGTATACCCTGTATTGATCAATCCATTAGGCGTTCAATATATAAAAGTATGTCAATGGTGATATGTAAAAGGAAAAAAAAATGGAAAACTATTCAGTTTTTTATACAGACTAATTTTATAAGGTTTCATTTTTTCTCACTCTCTCAGGGTAGAGTTTAATTACTGTTAAAATGTTGTGAATCATTCAAAGAGCTGACTAACAGATGGAAATGTTTGTCACTTTTTGGCTTGCACATTTGTGTACATACTACAGGATAAATTAATTAAAGCAAGCTTTATCTGTGTTGAAACTTTTTGAATGTATTACATACAGTGGAAATTAAGACATGAACTTTGATTAGTCATTCTTACAGTAATTTGACTTTTCTTTTTCAGCTAATTTGACATCTGCTGACCTTTTAAAATAGAATCATTTAAACATTTGCAGTGACTTACTGTATTTCCTTTCCCACACTTATCCATAGCTGTTTTGATTATTTCCATGTATTTTTAGGTGCAGGTTACAAAGGACTATAAAAAAAGAAACTAGACACTTTCAATTACGCTCTGGTGTATGTAATGGTTCGAGTGTAACCTGCCAACAGAACAGGTCAGGTGGAAAGGTGATTCAAACATATTGGTTCTTGACTGTTGGAAATGTCAAACAACAAGACTTGGAGTGGAAACATTTTTTTTATTTATGTTTTCCCTTCTAGGATGTCTTTGTCGCCTATCTAAGCTGCTAAGGAGGATATAAACCTAACAGTCTTTTAGAGCAAACTAACAGAAGAAGAGTCAAGACAGCAAAGGAAGGACTTTTTGCTTGGGAAGATCTGATTTCAGTCACAAGATTGGTAAATATTTGCCTTAAGAAAAGCCAGTATTTCATAAATGTATTTTTGCCCCTACCTTTCTGATGTATTATCCGTAAACTCATCAATGTGTGATGTGATGTTTCTGATAATAGTCCATGATAATTTAATTCAGTCTTGATAAACTTCTGTCTCTAGTGCTGATTCATGAGTAGTTAATTGTGTAAGTCTGTTGAGAGGCATTATAAAAGCAGCAAATACTATTGAATGCTTATTTTAATGCTTTTAATATATTGTTCTGTGATAGAGGAATATACTAGTTATACTAATATGGATGGGAGGAGCAGTGGCACTATGTGGCTAAAGATCTGCGCCTGTGGCTGGAAGGTTGCTGGTTCAAATCCTATGGCAGGCAGAGGAATCCTCTACATGTTTGTATTGTAAGTGAATTCAGGGAGAAAGGGTTGTATTTGTATATTTGAGTTGAGATTTATTTTGTTTTACTACCTGCCAGCCAGTGCTTGAATTTCTGGGATACATTATCTGGTTGAGAGAAAGAGCTCTCATGATTCTGGATTCTGGATCAGTTTTAGAGAGCAGACAGTCCTCTGTAGGGTTTTGATTATATACTGAAGAAACCAGCATTACTGCCTTAAAAGAGCTGTGTGTCTGTAAATTTGCAAAAAGGATGGTCCATCTTTGAGGGTTTCAAATCAGAACAGCATTGTACTATAGAAGCTCTAGACTCAGGGCCTTGGAGTGTAACAAAATGTAAATAGTAGAATTATGTGATTACTGTATATGTTCGTTTGTAACAGCATTGTGTTACATTGCTTTGACATCACATTGATCCAGGAAATCAAAGAAACTGTAATATTCTTGATTGGTTTTCATTCCTGACTGGAGAAGAAATTTTCATCTGGCATTATAACTTAGCCTGGGATTATTTTTACATACTGTACATGCATCATTCCCTTTTATTACTGTACAACAATATGAATGTTAACTACTTGTGTGTATGTACCCTGTGATGGACTGAATTGTCATGGTGTAATCCCACCTTACACACTTTGCTTTTTGGATGGGCAGGAACATGTGGTTTTCCAATAACAGATCAGTCAAAGAATCAGAAGAATCAAAAGGAGGCATGATCTAATAATACAACGTTTTAAAACCAAATCAAAGTGTACAACATACACCTGGTTGTAGTGGCTTTTGTAGCTTCTTGATTTTGAAAATTGAGTGCTTTCATCTGTCTCCTTGGTTCCTTTTGTTCTCTCAAGTGTTTCTCCAAAGAAATGTTTGTTTAAAAAGACAGAAGAAAACAAAGATACTTCTGATGTCTATGAATGGAATGCTTTATAGAACAACGACTTAAAAACATTCACCATTTAGCATTTCAACAAAGCCTGAGACCAGAGAGCTTCCATCTGTTCTAAACCAATTCCATTACCTACTGCTGTTGCCCTATAAGTGGCTTCCTGATAATAGATGGATGGTGAGATAGTCCCCCTGTATTTATTACTGTACATGTATGTTAACTGCAGATAAAAAATAACCTTTTCTTCACTTGTTTTTTGTGACTGTGTTTCATATTAATGTCAATTTCTTTTTGTATCTCTGATGTCTGACCTTATTGAGTTGCATGACTATTATGTTTACTTTTACCTCAATTACCAAATGTAAAACAAAAGCATTAGGAAATCTGAGAATAATGTTATTCTGTCTTTAGTGTCTAATCACTAAAAAAAACTTTTTATTTTTTACTTACTTTCATTATGTTTTCCATGTGTCATGTGTGCCTGTGCTCTTTGTTACATCTTGGCTGACAATTCCTGCTGTCATCATATGATCAAACAACCAAGCACCAATATCCCTTGCAACAGTTTGCATACAGTATAACAGATGTAAGCAGGCATCAACCACATCAATAGGTACAGTAGGTTAAATAAAGGTTAAATAAAACTGTGGCCACTGAGGTCTAGGAGAACAACACTTCACTGCATAAAAGAATACTGTTTTAATTCGCCAAAAATGAAACTGTTTGACAAATGTTGCAGTTTTTATTAAGTAAAATCAAGCAAGGAAAGAGCAGTTTCTTTACATTTCTAATTGTGTGTGGCTGCGCTTGAAGTGGGCTGTGTGGCAGATACAAATCTTATTGCAGTTACAAGTTGGAATGGTGAAGAAATAAAATTACAAAAATTTTATTGACTTTCAGCTGCATGTCTTGTTGAAATACCTTTGTGTAGTAAACAGCTCCCTGCTGTGTTCTTGTTTCAGCAATTTGCTACAATTTGAAAATGAATAAGGCTTCTGGACTACTCCCAAAGGGTGGGGGATATGCCAAGTCAACAGAAACAATAGTATTTGTTAGAGCAAAGTATTATTTGTAATGAAAGGGAAGGTAAAATGTAGACCTGCTGGGACCTATGAAATAAAGAGGAAGAGACTGAGAGATGCTGAGTATATCTATACTCTATATTGTGTATATTGGTGTACTGAGTGTGAATGTCTATATATATATAATGTTAATTACCCCTAACTGTCCGGTAGAAGTGCTGAGTGTAACATACCTAACTTTGACCGTTAAAAAATGTGCATGTACGAAACGCTTATCAGTGTTACAAGAAACACTTTAGGTGTTTAAATTGTGCTATTTTTTAAGAGCAAACAGTTGCTGTTTGGAATGGAAATGTAATTATTAATTAGCTCGGGGTTGTACACAACACTAAAAGCTGAACCATTTGTACAGACTTTTGTTTCTATCTCTTAACTTCTTCAGGACCCAGCATGTACAGTATATGTGCAGTAGCTAACAATGCAAAAATTAAATAAATATGGCAGACTTTTCAGAGAGACAAGCTTAAGCTCTTCAATTTTACAAGGAGTTAACCAAACAGAGGCCTGTACTTACATTTGTTGACATTGCCTTCCTCTAGGCCATGCTGTTTGATTATGCAGTGCTGAACAAAGCAGTGCTGAAACACCAGTCTATTGACAGAGGCAGTTTTAATATTTATGTTTCTTACAAATTTATGAGGAAGTGCACAGAAGAATGTTAATTGAAGGTGAATGCATATTATTAACCAAATTTGGGGAAAAAAATGTAAATGCATTTTATGTGTATTTCAAATTGTGTGGTGTTCCTACGTACTGTACAGTACCAGCAAAGCTTGTAATTGCAGTTTTAATGTCTTCCTCAGCAGTTTCATTTGCACACTCTTGAATTCATATAAACATTCATCTGGGGAGAATGGATCGATTCTGTTAAATGTTGAACTGTCAGTTACTGAGCCTTCCTGCTGTGGATGGGAGCATGTACATATTGACAAGTTTCACCTTAGAAAATTCCTTTAATCTTGAGAAAGGTAGAATAGGTCAAAAGCTTGATTGGTTTCTCTGTAGCTCTTCTTAGATATATCAAGATCCACTGCAGACATCTAGTCAAAATAACTTTATGAAAATTTAAAAAAAGCCTGTAAAAATCCATAATTTTTATTTTAGATGGATCCATTCCCCTGAACCATTTAGAATACATGGAATGTGAAAATTAAATATGCTGCAGGATATCTCAAAATTTCAATTTTTCTCTGTAGTCTTTGCTGTAATTTCTGATTAATACAACACAGGAAACCTTATTAATAACCTTTGACTGCCTTCCATCCACTGTGCTATAATGAGAGACGGTCTTATCAGATATTTATGGCGTTGTGATATTTAGGAAAAGAAAATTAACACTAGGTGGAATTAATTAATGAATTGTAGCTTGTTGCTACTAGAGTGAAATCAGGTTTTCTTATGCAGAGCATGAGGGATCGTCACTGTTGAAATGCTGAGTTGCTCTGTGGAGACCTGCCAATATAACTGTATGTTTACAGAAGATTATTATTGTTTCTATATATATAAATGTATGTGGGTGATTATTGTTATTTTCATTCTATAGTCTGATGTATGAATAAAAGTTGAGACAACAAGAGGGATAGAGATGAGGCAGGACAGGTACTCTTGTCTTGGTTTAAAGACAAAATTTTCTTTAACATTTAATACTCTGTTTATAGATATATAATGAAAAGCATTCAAAATCCAACAACAATGTTGGAACCAGTAGCATTTATTGTGGTTTCAATGCTTGTCAATTGATGTTGATTGAACTTTTTCCGATTCTGCAGTGACATGATAATGTTTTGAATTACCAGAGCCTTCAAATCTAAACAGAAGTAGGTGCCACCTGGTGGACCCGTTTTTATTAATCTTTTTTTTTCTGGGCCATACATTCTTCTGCTCATTAGCCTCTTCGTTGGTATTCCTTCATCTTCTTAATAACTTGACGATTGAACTGCACTTCAAAACATGACATTCACTACACTGGGCAAGCAGCCATTGAGAAGGATGTTCCCAAGATTTGTCTTCTGAACTTAGAATTCTTTTAAGTTTTATTTATTTTATAGTGAAGTGTTTGAAGTTAAGGATGATCTTCTGTTATTACAGCATCAAAAGTTTTATCTGTAAGAGAAGGGACAAGTATTCCCGCATCCCCAGCACTGAGGATTTTTTCAGCTGTTATCAGTCTGTTTTATTTGTTAAACTATTTGCAAATAATCCCTTTGTGACTTGTTTTATGCTAACATTATCCACATTTGTTGGCATTTATACTAGGCATATTTAACTTTACAAGGACATGATAAAAGATTTTTGATTCAAGGTGAAATCGGGTTTTTTTTTCTTGGAAACACACAAATTACAGTACATGCAAAAGTCTTTTCTGTGTTTCACAAGGTGATCAAATGATTGCTAAAATATAGACTTTTGTTAATTGTACTGAAAAGAGAATGTGTGACAGAAAATAATGTGAGATGCCACATGGCAATATATTTATAAATGAGTGTCTGATGTGTATGTTTAAAAAGGCATTTCTGCATGCATATTATCATAGCAGCAGATGTGAGAAAAGTATTGAACACATGCTGTGAGCAGTGGAACAGCTGGCTGTAGTGGCTGTTCTATTTGATACATCAGGACTAACATGCCATAATGTTTTG